AGCGTTAGGGTATTAAGCTATAGGGCCTTTATATCTCTAAGCGATAGCTCGGCCTTATTTATATTAGGCGAAATAGAAGATAACGTCTTTAATTATCTTTAGTTAGTCCTATTCCTTTACCTATTTAATATAGTATATAATCTTTATTCTTATAATAAAATATTAGACGAGTATTAGGTCCGGAATATCCTAATTAAAGTCGGAGATAACTTATTACTAGTTAGCGGTATATTCCTAAATAGACTAACTACTCTATTTAAATATTTTATAGCGCTTATAAAGTTTCTCGGTAAATAGGTATTCTATAAATTCCTATTTAAGCTATTTTTTAAAGATAGCCTATATAGAGAAATTATCGGTCCTAAATAGGTTATAGTACTTCTTATATTACTCTAGTCGTTACTATATAGTTCTTATTAGTTTATCTAAGGTATAGAGTATCTTTACCTTATTAGGGGAGTTATACCTAGTAAGTCTTACTAGCTCCGAGAAGTACTAGTTATAATTATATATCTATTTATAGGCGGTATTATAGAGGATAGCGTTATTATAATTAGCGATTACTTAGAGGTTATTAAAGAACCTCCTATAGATATCCTTATTTATAGCCTAGAAGCTACCGGTCGCTATTATTAGAGGCTATTTATAGATATTTATAGATATTTATTCTCCTTTAAGAGATATATTAGGTCCCTAAGGCGTTATTTTAATAGCTATAAGGGCTATTATAAATCGCGCGGACTTAGCTTATTCCGCCCGGAGGGACTAGACCCGATTCGCGGCCTATTCGACTAGGGGGTTAACCTATTAATAGTCTATACTAAAGTATATATAGAGAAAGATATTTCGTTCTTCTATATCTAGTAGATCGAGAGCTATATTAACCTCTACTAGAAGATTAGTCTAGAATTAGGCCTCGGTAGTTCCTTAGGGGGTCTATTTAGATATAGTTAATTTCGCGCGAGTTAGTTTCTTTCTTAGAGGAAGTAATATTATATCCTTTTATTCCTCTTATTAGGTTAGAAGGCTATTAATACTTTATAATAGCGTCTAAATACGGATCTTACTAGGTATTTAGCCGATATCGGCGTCTTTATAGCCTCGATCTCTCCCGCGCGTACCTACGCGGTTTTTTTACTTCCCGCGTTTTACCGTATATAGGCCCGCTCTATATCTCGGAGGGGTAGGTTATCTCCCTATCTCCGTTTTTCTCTATCTTTCTAGGACAAACGTCCCTAAGGCCGGCTGTAGAGGTATAACGAGTACGAAAGGTAGCCGGTAAGGGAAAAGGAGAGGGAGAGAGAGATAGTTATAAAGACTTCTTTTATACCTAGCCTTAGAGGTCCGCTAGATCGTTATCGGGATAGTATAAAAGGGGGTTAGAACCGTTCTTACTACGTTTAGGTATAGACGGTACCGTCTTATACCTCCCTAGGCTTATCGTAGAAGATAGCCTATACTAATATACTACTAGATATAACTTCGAAAGGATCGTATACTTTCTATTACTTAGGGTTTCTAACTACTAAATACTACTATCTATAGAGTACTATAGTACCTATAGACGTAGAAACAGTCCGGTGCGGGCCCGTAGGGTCCCGTATAGGGACCAATAGTGCTATATATATAGGAAATAGGCTTCTAGGATCTCACTAGTTTATCCTTAATATCGGATTTTATTCTAGCTTCGAAGTAAGGAAGGTATACTCTATCTAGCTAATCTAAGTAAGAAATAATTTTTAAGAACTTAGAGGTATAGCTTAATATAGTTCCGGTTTGTCGAATTCGTTATAACTTTTTCTAGGCTATTCTCGCTACGTCGATATCTCCGAACGTATTTTTAAGGTATCGACGGAAATTACGATACTCGCTAAAGATATTTATCGTAGTATCCGACTATTCTTTAGGTTTCTTTCTATAATAATTACGGATATAAGGTTCGAACTAATCCTATACCTAGCCGCGTAAGTAGGTTAATATAAAAATCACCTTACCGGCTTTATTAGGTATCTTAGTACTATTTATATCGAGGTATATATCTATCTAAGTAAGGAATCCTCGAAGTTTAATTCGGTTTCCTTTAAAGAACTTAGCCTTAGGCAATTATAGTGCCTAGATAGTACTAATAGATATAGATATATTAACTTAAGCCTTAATCTACTCGAGGTAATCGTCGACCTCGCTAAACTTACTACCGCTTCTTTTACCTAAGTGACTAAGCTAGTCTATAACCTTTTTAAGGTTATATTTAAGTTTATTGATCTTTCGCTTCTATTCCGTAATAGTATTATCTCGTTTAACGTTAGAGTCGGGGTCCTCTATAGGTAGAGTAACCTATTCCCGAACGGGTTTCTTCCCGGTACTAACGGAAGATATGTTGTTTGTCGGTGACTCGAAACTTGATTCGAGACGGTCTTCAATATATTACGTACTAGCTAACTGGTCATAGTTAGCTAGTACGTAATAGTTAGTCCTAAAGGGGGGTATTAGGTCTAATAGTCACGTGACCTACGACGTAACCCGTAGGACCTCTATGATTACTATCTTCTATCGTCCCCTACTCTCTCTTTTCTCCTTAGTTAGACATTATCAACTAATAGAATCTATCATTGGTAGTTGCATCTCTATCATTGTAGCCTATCCTATCATCACTAGTCAAAAATCGCGTATAGGTAGAGCATCATGCCGCTAGTAGTGGTCTCTCATAGAGAGGTCGGCTTCTGGGCGTTGGGAAATTTCATGGCGTTGGTCCGCCCAATCAGGAATGACGAACCAGTAACATTCGGGTCTGCGGGGATGAAGTTATGTGGAAAGCCGGGGTTGAAGGGCTTAACACTCTCTAGATGCTCGATTTGCTCCTGGGTCAGCTTGAGGCTCAGGGCCTGGATATTATCCTTGAGGTGCTCGATCTTGCGGCCGCCGATCAGAGGGAACACGTTGCCGGCCTTAGACATAACGTAGGCTAGTGCGACGGAGGTGACGGAGTCGATGCCGTGCTCGGATGCCACCTCTGCCAGAGCCTCACTGACTTTGATCTCTTCTTCGGTCTGGTAGGGAGGTCGGCCGGCGAAGGCACGCAGCCCTTCTCCAGCAGCCTTACGGCGCTCGAGCTCGGCCTTAGACTGGAACTTACCTCCACCAAGGACATCCCAGCTATTTATAACATAGGTTAGTTGTTAATTATTAGAATTAAAGGGATAATTAGACACTTACGGTGCAAGAGCCATGCCGAATTGACGGGCCATAGGGATAATATCGCGCTCGAAGTCGCGGTTAAGAAGGTTCCAACGTCCCTGGTAGATGCTAAAGGGAGTTTTTCCGTGGTCGATAGCGTAGGTATTGGCAGCGGCCACAATCCAGGCGGGGGTATCGGATACGCCTAGGTATAGAACCTTGCCCTGCTCGACGAGAATGTGGAGGGCATCCATAACCTCTTTGATCGAGGTGGTAAAGTCCCAGAAGTGAACGTAGTAGATATCTAAAGGAGGTGATATAAGTCAGAAAGGGGAGCTTATAGGTCAACGATACTAGGGAGTTAGAGACTCACCAATAAAGTTAGTACGTAGCTTCTTTAGCGAATCGCGGACACCAACATGAATACTACGGCGGGAGTTACCCGCAAAGTTAGCCGCCTGGGGGCCCTTGCCAATAGCATGGCTACGATAGTCCATGCTAAATTTGGTGGCTAGCACTAGCGAGTCGCGGTTTTGTCGAGCCTCGACCCATTCACCAATCCATTGTTCCGACTGCTCGTTTTGATAGACGCTGGCAGTATCAATGAAATTTCCACCGGCCTCATAGAATGCATCCAGAAGTTTGAATGCGGAATCCTTGTTTATGGAGCCCATCATGCCAGCCCAGGCCTCGCCAATAGACATGGCACCCAGCTGTAGAGGAGAGACACGCACACCGGCGGTAGACGAGAGGACGCGTAGGCGTCCAAGCTCAGTGGGGGGAGTCGGTTCCGCCATGATGAAGTGTTTTTTTGTAGTTCGATTGTTTTCAAAGATGTTGTGTTTATGTTCGACGCGTTGCTACGATCGGGGGGTCGACGGGCTTAGCTGGTAGTGAGTTGAGAGGGTTGGTGAACTCCAAGTAAGATAAGCCTGAAATAGAATAAAGAAGCCCTTCTACAGTAAGCTACGCCGCTAGCCAACCCCTAACGTAATCCCATAGATAGGTCTTTGATCACTAGTGGAGAACGATGCAGCTCGGGCGGAGTTAAGACACAATATCCGAAGCGCCTCATCCAGACCCTGTTCGGGGGACGCAAACTGCATGAAAGAAAGCAAGCAACGATCGGCAATGGCTAAGAACGAACAAGCCTTTCGCTCAGAGATTTGAGTCGGAGACCGACGGAGGCCCATCTCATCCATACCCCGGTGATGCATACTGCATGCAGGATGTATGGCTAGTTTCAGAGGACTACTGTACTGTATAATAAATTACATGTATCTATATATGTACATTATCCCTACAGTATGCGTATGGCCCCACTATAGCTGCAGTAGCATTGCTGATGAGGGACTTTCTGAAACTTGAGACTCGCGCCGTGCTCCTCCGAAATCCCTATCAGTGTAATTTATCAAAGTACAATGGTTTATAGAATAATCAGAGCCCTGAATTCTCTTGGTCTATGTATTTATATTACCAAACTAGACAGAAATAGGCAATGTGGATCCTGATGATAGGCAACGGCATGGACACATGGTTACTGTGCCTGTGCTATGTATACTATATCCACACATATATGTTGTGTACCTTTTTTCTCCGGGTTTGCTTCCCGGCCCTGGTATTTTCTTTTTTTGATATTCTTGATTTGTATCTCCTTTTTATTTTTTATTTTTTGACAACTTCATTTTATAAAAAAAAAACACATCAAAAGACAAATTTATATACGTAGAAATACAGACAAAAAAAATGGAGTAAAAAGATCAAATACTGCTCAGAAGCAATGTTAGTAGATGACTCACCTGAAGTCATTATTTCCGAGGTCAACTCTAGAGTTCCTCAATCACATCAGCCATGCTCGGGCGAGTCCTCAAATTGTACCGGGCTTGGGTAGACGAAGACGATGCACGAGAGTCTTGACTCTTACCTGAAACCGATGCACGGGATTTGTCTCTAGCAGAAAGGGCCGCTCTCAGGCTGGAGGCAGTAAAGTCTACAGCCATCTCTGAGTTCAATGGTTCTGGAAGAAAACTAAGCTCCTGAGGAACAGTGACATAGTTATCCATTCCGGGGAAGATCGAGTCTATGTACTGGGGTTGAGTCAAGAATCCACTGTCCACAGAATCCTGTGATGTCAGTCCAGAGAAGTCAATATTGGGTGGACCCGCCATATCAAAAGAAGTGGGATCTGTTAGATCTAAATCCATATCCGTAGGCAGGTCCAGGCAGGATGGATCGAAAGACTCCAAGTCTAAAGTGTTATCATTCAAAAACTGAGTGAAGTCCACATTGGCCAAGTCTTCTCCCGTCCAGTTCATAACCTGTGTCAAGTCCAATCCATTCGCATCTGGCTCACCCATAGCATCATCGTTCAAAAGCGCGCTGAAGTCAACATCCGGTACATCCGCTCCGCTCCAGTCCATCGTGTTTGTCCAGTCAATATCATTCAAATCGGCTGGGCCTGTGGAATATTCCTGTGGTAGTTGCGTAGTGATCTGATCTATAGTGTTATCAAGTGGAGCCTTGTTAAGGAAGGTAAACTCTTCTGTCTGTTCTAGGGTCAACTGAGGGATAACTGGGGTCTGTTGCACTGAAGCCTGACTGCTCGGGTTAAACAAGGAGTGTGCCCGCCTGTGCTCCAATGAGGTCTGCGGGGTAACAAAAGACCCAGTGGGGGTGCACTGGGGGGACGGGGTCCATGTAGGTGTGTTAGAAGGTCGCTGGTCATTGAAATCCTTGAAGGGCAATGGCTGCAAGTAAGTAACATACTGATAATTTGAGCGCTTGGGGTCTACCACCTGTGGAGCGAGTGGAGTCTGCATGTAGGGATGAAGGGACCTCATGGGCTCTGAGTTACCCGGGAACTGAATCGTCGGAACTGTGATATCAATGGTGTCCAGCCACAGTCCCATGGCCAGGTCCCCACCAAATTTGGGGCTTTTTCGGCGTAGCTCAGCAAACTCCAACTCGCCAAAAACTCTCAACTTTTTCCCGTTTCTTGTGATCTGCTGGGGATTCAGTCGATAATATCCGCAATACCTTAGAACTGCAGGCAGCACTAGCTCAGCGCGATAGTCCTTGACAGATTTCAAACCAGTAATCTGGAAGTTGTTGCTCCCGTCAGGAATAGGTTCCCTACTATACACTGCGTGAACAGCATACTGCAAAACGAAAGCTGGAGCAGTATCCATGAGATCACGGAATCTGCGGAAGGCAAGAGCCTGGAGGTCAGTAATTCTAAGAAGAAGGGCAGTTTGGAATATGGCCAAGTGAATGCGCAAGAGTTGACAGATCTGAGGACAAGTCACACATCCACCAGGGCAGGGCCTAATCGAGTAATCTCTCAAGTCGGCTTCTTCAACTGAATAGTCACCAGTATAGAAGTAATTAAGAAGGCTGTCAATCTGCTCAACACGTACCAAATCAGGAAGAACAAGCTTCTGCTTATCCCCAGTCTTGTGAATTCGCCAGTCAATCCACCGGGTCGACTTCCGAATGACATCCAAGTGCACATTCCAACCGCGTCGGCCGGTGTCTGGGTGTCGCAGCTTGAAATCGGGTTTGTGGGTCTTGAAGTAGCTAATAAAATGTTAGTATATAACCTTTTATTTGGGGGATGTCCTGTTCTTTATCACTTACTCGTGCTGCTCCTCTTGGAGTTGAGCCTTGCGGTTGCCCAACTCACCCCAACCCAGCCAAACGCGGGGCAGACCAGAATGAGCGTTGCAATGGTGATGGGCAGGCATGGTTACGATAGGATATTCTCTAAATCAACTGTGTCGGTTGGTTTGGATGAGTTTGGTGGTAAATACTGAGTGTGATTGTAGATGTAAAGTGTGATGAAGAATGAGGATTGTGCCGGGACAACAAGGCTCTTAAATACTCGAGAGAACACTTTTTCACAAAGGGATTAATTCCTTGGAATTTGAACAATGCCAATAAAGCCATCAAATCCAATAAAGTGTCTATAAATACTCGGGTGAATATTGAACCCCAACGTTCTTTGTTCCTCGACTATCCTGCGACACACGACTCTTAGACTCGGATTAAATACCGAGTTCTGATTGACTAGATACTATTCCTGTTCTTGTTACAGATATTTAAATATGACCATTGTGTTTCTATGCCCTTATTGTCGCCAATTTCCCCTTAGGCCCATTGAGTCCTTGCCTGGACAATCACGAACAATAGTCTTTGTACTCTCTATGCTGAGTGTGAAATGCTTAGAGATAGTAGCGTCATGGGTAGTGAGTTTCAGATTTTGGGATCACCGCAATACATAACCACTCAGAACAGAGATATTGTTCTTCGGCAATCTCTGTCTAGCATCGTCCCTTGACCACCAACACGGCCGCATCATGACTCTTCAAGGAAGCCTTGTAATTATTCTTCACACAGCCCAAATCCTTGCCAGTCCAAGCATCAATAACCTGGTATGCATTATAGCCCTTAAGCTCCGGAATCTCGCTCCATCTCGCAGTGCGAGTAGAAGTAGCATCCTCAGAGTTCAGCATAAGAACCAAAGTGCCCTCTAATATAGAGGATGCACCAGACCAATACTCTGCTGGATGAACCGGGTCAAAAGTTCTGTCAGAGTTGTATCCCCACTTATAAGGATAGGCAGGACTGCCAATGACAGGGTCTTGGTTGAAGTCAAGAAGGTACTTGTTCTTCAGAATGGCCAAGTGGTCGTCACTAATGGAATCGAGCTTTATAGTTGTCAGTATATCTTTCCATCAGGATTGGACTTTTGGAAATATCACATACAGCCGTGCCAATTATCAAGGGGGACTTCATGATAGCCCACAGTGCGAAGTGCGCCCTGGTTTCTTCAATAGTGAGATCTCCATTACCAACCTCCAACATGTCCGGGTCGGGGTAACTCCAAAAATTGGCGTAGTCCATCAAGAAGCTGTTCTCATTGGCAATTTGCGCAATACGGGACCAATCCGCTGAATGCAGAGTCAGCCACTAATCCTCCCATTCCAGTATCAGTTAAATAACTTACCGGTGATGTCACCAGACATGCGCCACGAGTTTGCAGTTTCATTGCCCCAGGTCTTGACGTCAGCCTGTCCCCATTCACAAAGTGAATAGAGGATCGTGCGGTCCACGTTGAGCAAGGCAGCGCGCATTGCATTATACCGCTGATATGTCTTGGATGTTTTCCAGTCATATCCTTCCGGAGCGGGATTGGTGATATCAGGACAGGTTCCATTAGGGTAGTCGCCGTCACCATCAGGGACACAGTATGCATATGTATCTGTCCAGTTACCGGAGACATCGCAATTGTCATATTTGAGGTCTGCGGGTTTCAGTATCTTAGAGACAGATTAACCAGAATAGAAATAACATACAGTCAATCCCCCACTCAGCAAAAGATTGCGCATCGACTGTCTCGTATCCCAGGCTGGCGGGATATCCAGCACAGGTAACCTCGCTAGCACCTAGCACATGTCAGATATGGTTTTTTTATCAGCACATAGGAGAGTATGGGGTACTAACTGCTGTAGATCCCGATTTTGAGTCCCAACCCGTGAACTTGCTCTGCAATACCAGAAATACCATCGGGGAACTTGGATGGATCTGGAATGAGGCGATTTGTGTTCTTGTCGCGGGTGTTCTTGATGCTCCAGCAGTCATCAACTTGGAAGGGTTAGTGATTCGCACCATTTTCGTGTGATAGTTCGGTTCATACTATTTATATATTCATAACCCAGATCCTTCAATCCAAGATTGATGACCTCATTAGCTGCGGTGATGAACTTGGTAGAATTGATATCACATCCGAATGCATTCCAGGAATTCCATCCTAGGGCAGGCAATCTACCCTATTTTGAGTCAGTGTTTCCGTTCAGAATCACTAAAAGAAAAGGAGAAGGGCACATACAACATCATTTTTCCTAACCAGAGCATTTGCCGCTGGCAGAAAAGTCAATGCAACAATGAGAGTCAATGGTCCTAGCATGTCTTTGAATTGTATTTCGCTTCTTTTTTTATCCTAACTAAATCTCCTAAATCTGCGGGCCTTTATAGCCCCAGTCTCGTGCGGGGAATGGTTCATGTCATCCTGATTAAATTGACAATATACTAGCAGTGTCGATCACCATACACTAGACCGTAGTCTCACTTACATGCATAAATAGAGGGGATTGATATATTGTACTTTGTATGGAATCCCTGTGTATCGCAGTGCACAGCGACCACTGAAGACTTTAATAACTATCCTAAAGACATATCTAAAAAGGACTATGTAATGGTCCTCTAGAAGATATTAAATACATCTAGTAGTAGGTGATTCTATCTAAAATAAATACCTCACTATAAATCTATAGAGCTTCTAATCAAGTCGATCTAACAACCAAAGCATAGAAATTACGAAGGAGACATTAGTGGCGAATCCTAAAAGCCAATAGGACTATAATTCCTAATGGTACATATGCACTGTGATACCCGTGGATGAACGTACCTGTGAGATGGTTTCCCCGGGGTTTCAGTGCCGCCTTCCAATGTTCCTAATTGGGGTGGACAAGGACGGAGACGGAGACGGGGTTCGGGGAAAGGAATAGAAGTGAAAATAACAGGACAGGCGCATTCAGACAAGGGTCCGATGCTTGCATACTGTCACATCAGGTCACTTCGCTTCTTCAATCTAGATCAATGCTAGAAAAGGGGATATACCCTAAAAGAATACTACAATGCCATGCAAAAAAAGCAAACTTTTTTATCTCTAACAACCATCATGATACGTATTAATTGGGAATCCAGTATTGGTTACATGGTTCAAAGGTGGCAAGGCACGAGCTATCTAGGTTTTTGCAGGTTCCATTGCGAGTGTAAGAGTGTAAGAGGAAGAGTTGGTGATGTGAAGCTCCAGAGAAGATGGGGCACGGCCCCATAGAAGTCACGTTGTATAGGAAAGGACCACCGAAAGACGTAAAGGAGTAAAAGGTACGGGGGTATACTACAATATCAAAGGTTATACATAGAAAAGTCTCTTTCACACGGTATACCTTTTTTTATTGCTTTCGTATATACCTAATATGAACATCTAAAAAGACATGACAAGGCCGTATAAGCGGCCGACTATTCTTGTCATATATGAAAAGAACCTTGTTATTTCTAACAACCATCATGATACATATCTATCGTAAAATCATTAGTCGTACAAAATACACCGCCATGCTTCCACCCAAATGCATATTAAAAAGCAGTACGCTTCACTTGGAAAGAAGAAAAAGAGGGAGGGACAATCATGCAAGCGGCTATTGCTTTCCCAAGATCAAGGAACGGGCCTGACGAGGATCTGTTCCGAGGACAGTAATGAGATACTCGATGCTAGCTTCAGAAGCCAAGCGACGCTTCTCATCCTGGAACTCCTTGTTGCACGCATCCCACGTCGCGTTCCGTTCTTGACTTAGGACCGTCTTAGCGCGGATTTTAAACGCCGCACTGACCGGCCGGTGGTCAGAGACGCGGACCTCGTGTCGCCGATAATCAAGCTGCTTGACGCGGCCCAGACCACGGTAAAGAATGCGGTCGCACCAGGCAGGAGAGCGTTTCTTATCACTGGAGTCGTACTCGTCCGTGCCCACGTCGTACTTGTAGGTCGGGGCGAAGGTGATGGGAGACTCGGTAAAGGCGCGCAGACGGAAACCGGGGTTCTTCCGCCGGGAAGCAAGTAGCTGGTCTCGATCCAGGAGTTTTGGTAGGTTGTTCTGGCGAACTGCGTCGATGATCACATTGCGAGGAATTGCATCGATTCGGTAGTTCAAATCTCCGTTCAGAATGCACACTTCATGGTCCATGATCATGGAGCCATCACCACCACTGGTAAACTGATCTGCCCGCAGGGTCATGCTATTCTCCGCAGGCAGGGACTCAGCTTCTAAGATCGCAGCAATATCATTGTTTCGGTTTGCGGTCTGGGTTTGGCCGGCGGCCAAATGGCAGTTCACAAAGCACATCGAGCTGTCATCCAGGACGAAGCGCAAAACAAGGGCACCCTAGTACAATTAGATAAAAGCCATACCAAGGGCCGGGCACATCACAAACCTTGTTTCCATGTAAACCGCCCATCCCACGCTTGATCTCCGAAGCACTAATGTTTTTGATATTATGGCGTTCCTTGTGTTTGACAAAAACGCAAGTAAACAGGCCCACCATATTCGCAGTATGCAAAAGAACGTAGGATTCTTCAAGAGGCATGCATTCGTGAAGAGTACGAGTAAGATGCTCAATCCACACTCGATACTGACGACTCATGTGTTCCTTCTCACCGTTCTCTTTCTTCTTACTGCCAAGCAGCAAGCTCTCTGTGGCGATGTCAGTGAACATTCACATAGAAAGGGAAAGAAAAGTTTATGACTTACTAGCTGTGATCTTCTTGTTCTCAAGATCAACCAACTCCTGGAACCCAAATATCACGATCTCGGGCGGGTCTTCGGGGGTGACCGCATTTCGGATGAAATCCGAAGTTCGCACACTGCCGGGGGTAGAAGCTCCCGCATTCCAAGTCAAGACGGCAGCCTTGACTTCTCGGAATTTACAGAACTCCACATCTCTGGCTTGCATCCGCGCATCTACTAGTATATCAGTGGAAGCCATCAACAGATGAAAACGAAATTTCACTTACCCAACCAATCGTCCTCGAGCATCCCGTCCCAGAGACGAATGCAATTATCAGTGCCAAGAGAGGTCACCTGCAGGCGGTTCATGGTCCATACGCTGCTCATGTCTAACACGA